ACGCACGCACGCACGCACGCACGCACGCACGCGCACACGCACACGCACAAGCACGCACACACACCATCAGTATATACACACACAAAAAATAATAATAAATAAAATTTTAAGTAGGGAGATCAAATATGACTGCAAGAGTCCCAGTCCAGACATCTTGAAGGAAAACTGTTGCCAGCAGACATGCCGAGAGAGCAGATGTGGGAAGAGGAGCCGGAGTCAGCTCAGATGTGCTGAATTTGACAGGGCTACACAGAGGTTGTGGTGGTTTGAATAGGAACCTGCCCCATAGACTCATGTGTTTGAATGTTTGGCCCATAGGGAGGGGCACTCTTAGGAGATGTGGCCTTGTTGGAGGAAGTGTGTCACTGTGGGGGCGGGCTTTAAGGTCTCACATGCTCAAATGATGCCCAGGATGGTACACAGTTCACTTCCTGTTGCCGGTAGATCAAGATGTAGAGCTCTCAGCTACCTCTCCAGCACCACGTCTGCCTGCGTGCCACCATGTCCTGCCATGATGATAATGGACTAAACCTCTGAACTGTAAGCCAGTCCCAATTAAATCTTTCCCTTCATAAGAGTTGCCATGGTCATGGTGTCTCCTCACAGCAACAGAAACCCTAGCTAGGACAGCGGAGTAAAATGAGCAAGGGAGGCTCTGCAAGCCAGGAGTCCCGGGGAGAGTTACCACAGGTTCTCTGGGTTCTGGTAGCCAGAACCACAATGACAAAAAATGGATCATAGCTGTCAAGGCTACAGGCCACATCAAGGTGTTAGCAAAACCAGCCAGGCTCTCTCTTAAGGCTTGCTATAGTTTGACTACGCAAGACGTGTGGGAAGCACAGTTCTCAGGGGGACCATATTGAGAGGTGAGGCCTTTCAGAGGTGATTTGGTTATAGCTTTGGGGGCTCCACCCAAACCTCCCCTCTATTCTACCATCACCCCTGACAGCAAAATATAAGCGTGTTTGCAATCTGCCAGCTATGTCCACTCAAATGACAATGATGACTTGGGCCTGAGGAGATAGCTGTCACTAACACATGCAAGGGGCTATGGGTTAAGTGTGTCCCCAAGTCCATGTGTTGGTACCTAACTTCTGAAGCAACAGTGTCAAGAAGTGGGGCCTACGGGAGCTGACTAGGTCACGAGGGCTGTGCACCCATGAACAGGGCAATGTAGCTCAGTGGTCAATCAGTTGCCTTAGGGGCAGATGCCTAATAAACGTACCAAAACCTGGAGGGACATTGTCTCCCTCCCTCTCTCCCTCCCTCCCTTCCCCCCCTCCCTCCCTCATGCTCTTTTTTCTGCCATTGGATAATACAAGAAGGCTCTCACCAGATGACAGCATCTTATTGCTGCATTCTGCAGCCTCCACCATCATGAGTCACAATTCCTTTTCTTTTCTGTGGTGTTTTGTTAATAAATTAACTAAATCAACTTAGCAAAATTAACTATAGCAAAGGATAAAGGAAATTATTCCTAATTCTCAGATCATCTTTATCAGTAGCCATCAAGGCAGTATGAAAATGCTACTGAATTGACAAAGTTTTTGGATTTTACGTACATAAACACACACATTTACATTTAGACGTACACACACGTATGTATATGTGCTCATGTATGGAT